TTAGAGCATGGTTTTGAACTCAGCGGGGTGATGGCTCACTGTCAGCTCTGTCCGGTTCCAGGACCCCAGGGGACTCAGGAGTTGCCCATATGCCAACTCCAGCATCTCAGGAACAGTCTGGCCAGGGATGCTTGGCCACGTACTGAACTGCTGTCCTGATTAACGAGGACATGTGCTAGAAGAGAGTTGTGTCCTGGACCACTCTGGGTAGAGAATAAATTTTCAACTTGGACATAAGTACAGTATTAGTTTATTGCCAGTGGCTTATGCACCTTGCTGAGTCCACTGGTTTACAAACTAAATGGTTAGAGAAACAAAACCAGTAACAAAGGATGCTCTTCAGAGACCAGCATGCTGGCTAATACTTATGTTCAGTTGTCAGTTGTAATTGTTAGCAATAACACATCAAAGGAGGAAAAGGGGAAATTAAATACCATCTTATAAGATGTGCTGTAGGTGTCAGAGCACTCTTTCTTCTCACAGTCTTGAGAATTTTTTTTAGTTCCGCACCATGGAAGGCTGAAATGAAAATCCTGCTTTAGTTAGATTTTGAGTTACTTTTGAGAAGCACCAGTCAAATTAAAGGCATTTCAAACATAACTGCAGAGTATGGATAGATCAGGAAACAGTTTTAGGTGGGATTTTCAAAGCAGTCTCAGGAATGCAGATGATTTAAGTGACCTGTGAGGAGTGAGTGGCTAGTTCCCTTCATCTGCGTTGACAGGTGCTTTTAGCCTGGATGTAACTATGTGTTTTATCATTACAATAGCGGCCAGCTCTTGTGACTTAAATAAGCTCTACCTGTCTAGGCACATTGTGGCAGTCTCATGGCAGGTGCTCTGAGGGGTGCTTCTGGCCTCTGGCTGTGCGTTAGCAAGTGCACCTCCCCAGACCCCAACTGCCACAGCTGTGCTGACAGAAGCCAGTCATAGGTCTGGTGACGCCTCACAGGGACCCACGAACCCGCCCTTCTTCTTGGGTATGCTGTTGTGTTACTAAATGAACGTGACAGACAGATCAGTGTAAAACATTAAAATAACATTTATGTCATTGTTGAATACAGTTGTTTAATATAGGGTTGTGTATATAAATCACAGGAGATGAGCTTAATGTGGCGATAATTCAACCACATTCAAAAGGGGCAGAAGAGAGGAATGATCAATGTGACATGATTTCTTGATACAAAGTATCTGAGAAGTACAATACTGAGTTGAACAGGGAAGGCTCAATTAAAGTCACTTGCTATTCTGTCTGTGACCAGGCTGGGGGGGGACACAACAATGGTCCTGTCAAAGCTACCTGCAGGATTAGCTGACTTCTGCATCAAGGTCTTTCTTTACCAGCCTTCCCCTTGGGTATGCTAACATTGTAAGCACTGCTGTAAATAGAATATACGTACACAGCCTGGGTTTTAAGTAACTCGTTTGCGATCTTGTAGTACCCTAGCTTCAGCTGGCCAGGGCTCACCATAGACTGCAAAATACATCTTAGAGGTAAGGGCCAGCTGGGCTCCACGGCTGCTACCTGTGTCAAAGCAGGCTGGCTTATAGCTGTCCTGTGTATGCCTGCCACACACTGCTGTGGTAGTTAATACCTGAGCAGTGACAGTAGCATAAACAAACTCCGGGAAGAGATTAGGTTTAACTGGAGAGTTACTCTTGTGATATGACTTCTTGCTCCTGCAGATAGATGGAAGAGGGTGCCTGATGTCCAACAGGAACCTTCAAAACTGTCATCACTTCTGTAATTTGTCAGATGCTACTGGGAGCACATGATATTATAATGACTCTGATTCCTGTAGGAAAGATAAAGTACCATATCTTCATAATTTCTCTCCCCTTCTCCCCTTTTTTATTTCAACCTTCAAAGGATTTTTTTCAGGAGAGAAAGGTAAAGTGATCTGGGGTTTAGCTCCCACTTGTGCTCTAAGCTTCCTGTGTGACTGTGGATATCAGGTTGTGCTTTTCTGTACCTCAGTTTCCTCTCCATTAATTTAGAATAGGCACAGTTTTAGAATTATTTGTGTAATTGTGCCAATTTAGTGTAGAGGCAAGATCTGCAGATGTAAGGCTACCAAAAGATATATGGGAAATGGCAGAGGTTGGTTTTGAAAGATCTCAGTGCCCAACAGCCAAGTCTGTGAGTTTAGGTGCCTTACCTGATTAAATATTTTAGAACATTTAATTGGGAACCAGGCTGCAGGGTGCCTAAGTGCCATGGAGATTGTAGCCCTAGGGTCCTTTGTGTCCAAACAGATTTTAAAATGGGGACTTATATTACTTATTTGCTGAACAGATTTTTAAAATGCTACTAAGTCGTAATGTTTCTGTTGTTGTTGTTTGTCTGCTTTGTCTAATTAGGCTCTAGCAGAACAATTGCAATCTCTTTTACTTTGTTTGTGCTGTGCCGGATAGACATAACCCTGAATTTAGTTCTCCTGTAGATGCAAATTCAATAAAAATAACAATAGTTGTACTAATGAGAATAACTATGTGAAGCCAGGATTCGTGCTAAATTAGTATCCATTAGTGACTTAGATCTATAATGAAGGTTTCCCTGCTCTCTGTTGTGTGTCTCAATTCATTACAGAGCAGTCCATAATATTTTATTAACAACATTTTTATTTTTTTCTGGAACCGTTGCCCAAAACTATTGGAAGAATATGTGCTTTCCCGTAACATCAGAATGAGACAAATGGCACTGCTTGCTTTTATTACTGTACAGAAGCGTCTTTCCTTTGGACTCAGATAGACTAGTAAATGGCAAGTAGCTGGAAACTAATGGAACACATGCTTCAAATCTTTCCATCTGGTCCCTTGGTGAGCAAAAATAATATATTGTCTATGTTCTAATCAGTCCTTATTATAAAGAAAGGTACTCGCACTCTAACTTCCTACAGAAACTCTTGCCTTTACTCAGAGAGGGAACGGGCAATAAGGATTATTGCCTGATGCACCTGCAGGAGAAAAATGAATGGGGTAAAAAGAAAAAATGAGGCAGAGTAATTTTGCACTCTGAAACTGGATAATGCACCTGTCAACAGGTATTTATTCTGGTGGCCTTCAGTGACATTTTCTAGTGACAGCAGAAGAAAGGCTAAAAATTGTTTCATGGAGACGCCATACATACAAGTTCAGTGAGCAAGAACTGTATCAATCTGAATGTGAGGAAAACTACTTAAGACCCCTTTTCTAATTTGTTGCATTGGAATCTTCCTCAGAGCTCCTCCTCCAGACATCTCATCAAAAAGCCCTTATTTATTCCTTTATTTATTTTATTTATTTACATACATTTAGGAAGAAAAAGGAAGAAGATACTCCCCCCAATGGAGGCCATCTGCTCTTTTCTTACTGGGGGGGAAAAAACCCCTACAATTAGTGTCTTGTTCATCTTTTCGTTTTAACAAAAAAAGAGAGGGAAAGAAAGAGAGAGAACTATTATGCAAATACTCTGCAATTTGGTTTCAAATATTCTTTGTACTATGATGAGCAATTTCCTTTAATACAAACTCAGCCTACTTGCCAGGACTTTTTTTTTTTGCCTTAATATAGGGAAGGAAAAAAAAAAAATCTTTTATGAGTTGGGGGGTATGCTGTGTTCCTCTGATGCCAACTTTTCCTCATCCTTTTTTTCCTTGGCACTATTACAGCTGTTATTCTTTAAGTTGTCAGAAAGATGTCATACAGGTTTTTTGAGAAAGAAGGAGAACCAAAATAGCTTTCCAGAGCTGTAGTTTCATCTCACTTTTCATTGTTCCATTGCCATGATGAAGTGGTCTTGAAATGGAGGACTCGGCTTAGTGAATGAGAGAGGAAAGCTTTCTCGCTGCTCGTTTTGAATGGCAGTTGCTTGTGATGGCAGCATTACCTCTAAGAACAGACACGTAGGTTTTTTATAAAGAGCTCCCGTGCTACTTGTCAGTGGTATGAACTTCAGGGCTGAATAGCACAGCCAAGTCGTCCTCAGTACTGCACAACCTATCTTGCTAGATGAAAATCTCTGAAAACTTATCATCTGGAAAAGAAAAAGTGTAGAAGAAATAAAGGAATATTATTTCCTGTTTACTGTGTGGGAAGCTGAAACATGGGAAAAAAATGAAGTAACTCGTCCAAGATCTATTAGGAGAGGACTTCGGAAGAATCAGAAGCTGAGCAAAGAGGCTCAGGTTTAGAAAGCTGCTGCATTGTGTAGTGGTCTACTTGTGGCAACGTCAGGAGACAGGTAGGGCTGCTGCTGCAGCTGGGCTACCACTGTACCACCCCGAGCACCAGTCTAGGCTGTCGCTGTGCAGCAGTCGTAGAGGCGGCAGCGTGGTCATATCCTAATGGCTTAACAAATCTGCTGACTTTCAGTAGGACTTACAGGCATCTAACACATTTGAAAAGTCCCCACTAAACCTCCTGATTCTTAATCCTTTGTAGGTTGAACTCTGGGAAAGCTTCAGTCGACAAAGAAGTGTTACATACTTAAGCCTATAGCAAGTAAGCATAAAATCTCTGATCTAGTAAGGCTTTTCAGCACAGCTTAATCAAATATATTGCCAAATGAAGCCTAGCTGTCCATGTCACAATACACAAGTGGCATAACTTGCATAAAAAAAAGCTGATGCCCAATGGATTGACCACAAGTTGGAAAATATATTCAAAAAAACAAAAAAGACCAGTGAGACCTTTAAGCAAAGTGAAGTGTGTCGCACTTACATCTTTGCTTCTGAGGTTGTAACAGTCCAAGGAATATAAGGCATTGCAGAATTTCTGATCTGAGCCTTCACTGGATCTGTTCAGATAGTCTGGACTGTTACTTGGGGCTCATTACATCAAGCATACATTACACCAGACTAGATTTTGCCTAGGTATGCCTAGCAATGGATAGACAACACAGGAATTCATGGTACTTAGGGAACACTGATCCCTTTTAGATGCTCTGTGAGAAATGAGAAATCTTCTATGCATAGAGTCTTTAAGCACACTGGAGTAACTGGGTCACATTTATTGTTACAGGAAGCTCTCATCATGGCCAGCATGGACCACCCACACCTGGTGAGACTCCTGGGTGTCTGCTTGAGCCCGACCATTCAACTAGTCACTCAGCTGATGCCTCATGGCTGCCTGCTGGATTATGTTCATGAACATAAGGATAATATTGGCTCCCAGCTTCTGCTAAACTGGTGTGTCCAAATAGCTAAGGTATGTAGTTCTTGCTGTTCTTTTTTCTGTCGTTTTCATAACTAACTGAAAAATACAACATACAAAAAAAAAAGGTAAAAAAATATATTGTTTGGGTGTTCTGGTTTTTGTCTGTGGGCTTTTTTCAGGCATGTTTTTTTTTTTCAAGAAAGCTGAGTAGTTCTTGAAATGCACACTGGTTTGGCTGCGTACAGTATTATAGGCTTCGTACAGTATTATAGTTTACTTGTTAATGTGTAAACCAAAGTGTTTTTCTTGACTGTTTTTCCAGCTTTGTGTTACCGGGGGTCCTTCAGGGGGAAAGAAAAAGGTGGGGGAAGAAGCCCCCGTGTGACATCTGGGGCTGAGTACAGAATGATTTTGCAGCCTCTTCTACTGTTCACTATTCATAGATACTGATTTAACCTGATTGGAGTTTTCAGCCTTTCTGAATCTGCATTGCCAGTTAAAATCTGATATGCCATCAATTGTCTGCCCCCACACTGCCAAGAAGATAAATATTCACTTCATGTCACTCCTTTGGGAACCACCACGGTTCTGCTGTGTTTAAGACCTATCACAACAGCTGAGGCTGGAGGGTAATATTGCTCGTCTCTGCAGAATGGGAAATCTCAGGGGCTGGATCCTGCTTTGCTTGCTGTGGCGCAATGCTCTCTGCCTTCCTGTGGGGTTTTAGGAGCAAGAGTGAAGCCGTTATCGTTCATATACAGACTGCACTTCAGCTGAGATGGAACACAGTACAGGTCATAAATGCAGCCCTAATGTAATCCTCGTGCAATGTTTTACCTGTGTTTTCAGGTATGTTCAGGTATTCAGTGTTGTGCTAAGAACAAGTTACTGGTAACCAGTTGCAAAGAGTAACAAGATCTGGGAGTGTAGAGGGGCCACAGATTTTATCCATTTTAAAGGCTCTTTTGTGCAACCAGAGTTGTGGAGAACGGCGTTACTACGAATGAGTATCTGGAACCCCCTTTTTATTTATTTAGAAGTTATTTAAAGTTTTAGATAGATTATTTTGGTGAAAATGCTTGTGACATACAAATGTGTGCCACAGACTGCTCTCTTGTATTAAATCTGGAGCCTTAAGTGAATTTGCTACATCTATTACACAATCTTAATTCAAGTTGTAATGTTAAGCTTTTAGCACTGGAGAGAAACCTGGAGACTCAGCAGTTGTTTTGCTGGAGTGAATTGCAGCCATCGAGTAAACATTCACTTATTTTAAAAACTTAAACGCAAAATATTTTCTTACAAAAGTAAGAACATTGAGAAACTCAGCTAGACCTGAATTTTTGTACAAGGAGAGGAGGAATTTGAGGTTCATCATCAATAGGGACTATCTTCTTTCCAGGATCAGATCATTTGTCAAACCTGCCTGAAGGTGACAGTAGATGACCAGAATGCTGGGCAGGGGCATTGATCCATAGGTGGAGGGAATCCCAAACCCACATTCTGATGTTGCAGTGTTTTGTTGGTGTGTTAATATCTGCAATTCTGCTGTGCTGTGGAGGTAAAGCAGCCAGAGTTGCATGGAATATTGGAACGCATTGATGGGGGTTGCCTGTATCTGGAGATTTGCAAACGTTTATTTAGGGCTGTTATCAGACCGAGGAAGGTGGGGGAGAAAATACATGTTCCTGTTTGAGTCTTTTCTCTCAACACAACCTCCTTCCCATCTGTTCTCCACTCTCTTGATTGATAGTGGTTGTTATTATTTATTACAAAACGTTTACACAGTGGCATACGTGAAAAGATAATCCACCTTTATTTTCAGTTTATGCATACAGATGGCCATTGACTCATTGAACTAATAGCTGTACTTGCTTTGCTGTGGACTTCATGTGGGCAGCTGATTTAGTGAAGCAAATAGCCTGATGCATAGTCGAGGCTTACAGAGCTGATAGATCTGTGGGAGGGTCTGTGAAAGGCAGGTCATGGTTTTCCCATGGTGATTCTGACCAAAGTGAAATGGGTTCTAAACTGATTTCCATTGCAAATGGTTTCAGCATAACATAGGGATTGGATTTAGGTACACTCATTTGAAAATCATTGCCTGCCATTTTTCTTGATCACCGTGTGATGTGGGAGGAGAAGATGAAGTATTACAGATATATGAGTTCTGAGATGGTGGGTAACAAAGCAGTGCAAAGAAGTGGTATCATATGCGTAATATTAACTGATGAAGTGTCAAGAAGAGAAAGAGAGTTTCTTTATAACAGAAAGTGGCCTATTATTGAGGGAAAGTTTAGTGACGTTTAGTCAGTTTATTGAAGTTTAATTAAATTAATCTTCTTCTGCATCACAATAATCTTGAGGTTAATTTTGCCTTGGCCTCACATTATATCATGAAGCTCATCCACTTGGCTACCCATAAAGGGGACAGCAGCAAGTGACTGTTTGGTTGAAAGAAATGCACTAGTTGGTATATACGGCTGGCCTGTTAACTCTGGGCCATCGCACTTTGTCTGGATTATTTTCTCCTCTGTTTCTCTATGTGTCTCCTTCCCTTCTCTTATTTTTACCGCAGTCGTTGGTACAGGGCTTGGAGAGAATCAGTGCACACCTGACAGGGAGTTCTGCGTTTTGCAGCTTTTGCATGCGTATCAGTGGTGTGTAGTAGGGGATGGCTTGTTGTAGCTGAGAAGGTCACCGCAAGTACTGACTACGTGCGTACTGACGTAGTGCAATCCTATTGCGGAAGTGGACTCCAAAGAATAAAAATATACCATTACCTCTTTGTTTTTTTCTTGTCTTTAGAGACCTTGAATAACAGTTGTCTGTTGAAAATATTCCCTGTCAGGTTGCATCTATGCATAAAGATACGTGTCTTAATTATTATATAGGAAGCTAACAGTGAAGAGAGGAAAGAGGTAGGGACAAATGAGGCTGTGCACACCACATAATGTGTAAGAGTAATGCAGATGTTGCACAGTTTTCTGCATTGCATTGTGCTTTCTGATAGGGTACAGAAATGCCTATTCCCTTGCTTATCTCTCAGACTGTAACATCGATTGGGGCGAGGAAACATACACAAGAAAGTATTTTAGAACTGGTAGGAAGAATAATCTTTGAGATCACCAGACAAGGAGTCCCTTTATTCCAAAAAGTGGAATAAACATGCTAGTCCCCTGCTAGCAGCAGGGGAGTAGTAATACTTGTTTTCCACTCATCTGTCACATTTAACAGTGACTAGGAATCAGTCTGCAGCCTGCAAATAGGAAGGATTCAATTTGCCTACAAATAGACTGGTCTCCAGAGGAATGAACGCAGAAGGTGGCTATTGCGTCGAGCACAAGTTGCCATTTGCTGCGGGAAGGGTCTGTGTATCCCACATACCTGTGTCCACTGTGCTCACATTTCAGGCTCTGCCATATGGCTTGAGAATGTCTCTCCACGTCTTGCTTTTCTAGGCTTTTGGGAATGATTGGTTGTGTCATTCTGAAAGCTACCAAAAACGTGAATAGCAATGTAATAAGAGGCAAAAATGATCAGCGACCTTCCAGTCCTATTCCCTGCTGCCTGAAGCAGCTTCTGGTGTCTTTTGTTAGATACCTCTTCCTGCCCTCACCTTCCCTCTTTTTACGGTGAGAATTTTCCCCGAACAAGAAGAGGACTGAAGAAATTGGAAATGCCTCAATTCTGAAGTTCAGGCTGATTTTTACGAATCGTTTAAAATCAAGTTGCTGCTGCAATACCGTTCCTCCCTACTGCGCTTTTCTCCATCTGCCAATGTGCAGGCATTTATTTATCGAAGTCATTGCTTCAGAGTTCACTTGTTCTGCCAGCCTGTTCATTTCCATATGTCTCTGCTTCTGTACAACTAGATGCAAAAACTAGTTAAGCGCTATGCCTGGTTGCCAACCTGCATATGGCTCTGGAGATCATTTCTGAAGGTTGACAATAGGGCAGTTATTAAGTATTATCTACTGCCAATTGAAAAAAGCTTGGATGCTTTTTCTTTTTGCTTATACAGATTGTGTTGAATTTATTCCGACTGTTATATCATTGTAGGGTAATTGTGTTCTCCTTCCAGAAGCTTTAGCTTCTTATTTTATGGATGAAAGTTATAAAAATAGAGTAGCCCCCAAGCGTTCTGCATAAAACATGGTTGTTAGACAGCAGCTGTGTCTAAGGGGGTTTTTCCTTTCTGCTTTGCAGATACACAAGGCATCTCCCTGTATCTCACTTCTATGTGTACTGTATTGCTTAGGGACTGAATGTTTAACCTTTTAGCTCTGAGTTCAGCTCAGCAATTTTATGTGAAGTTTGATGTCCAGTAAAGCAGTAAACTATGCTCACGTATCAAGATACTTCCCAGAATGGGAGCAAGAGTGACAGGCTTGGTGACCTTAGGGTACAGAAGGATCAAATAATGCTTTGTGGATGTCCATAGTGTTGGCTACTTGAGAAACGGATTGAGAATCAAATTCTAGGCATGAGCTTAGAAGTGAATTCTCAGTAGGTGAATTATGTCCTTGTCAGCCAGTCCATGATATGGATGTTAATCAAGAGGATTTAACCCTAACAAAAAAAAAGGTATGGTATGCATTGATATTTCAATGTGCTTGATATAATTTCTCACGGTAAGGGCTGCCTAAACACACTCCCTGGCAACTCGGAGGTGCGGAAGTTAGGACGTTCTTATGGAAATGCATTCAAGAAGGGAAGAAACATCTTACGGTTTCTAGTCAGAGTTGGTTACGCTCTGCCACTAGTTGAGGTTAACTAAAAGGCACCTGTATCTGAGGCCATATGTTCTCACTGTTACTCTAGGAGAAAAATTAGCCTGAGTCCTGTTGGAATTATTACTGTGGGCCTTTGTGCTATGCTAGGCTCACCCTCTGTCTCTCTCAAGGGCATACAGAAATGCAGTTTTGCTTCTATAACGTTGCATACAACACTTGCTAAAACCTACGTAGAAGTTCAGCCCAGGCAGCCCCATCTACTGTTTTACTGTTTTTTTCTGGTTCAGTTACGGTTTCATTCCGCTGCTGTTGATT